GCAGTTTTGGAAGTATGGCCATTTTCACTATATTAATCCTTCCTACCCAGGAGCAGGGGATGTCTGTCCATTTTCTGATATCATCTTCAATCTCTCAGGGAAAGATTTTTTTACAGTGATAAAAATATTTTTAATGTAAATGAAAATGAGAAGGGCCAAAACTTGTTTTTCTAGTTTATCTTGAATACTACTTTCTGTAACCTCATAAATAATCTTTTTAATTACTTAGGAATTTTCAGGTCAGTATCAACATCAAGCTCACCAGAATATAGCTTTTTACTTTTCAAAAATTAGAAGTTTTACAACTTTGGTTCTAGAGCATTTTTCCTGCCACTTACCACATTCTCCAATAGTTGAAGGTGGTTTAAGAATCACATATAAGAGCACAATCAATACTTAGATTTTAACTTTTCTCATTGAGGGCAGAATTATCTCTTTAACAAAGACCAGACCAGACTATTCTTTGCTATATACTATCTTCTTATCATGTTTAAGCACATCCTTTGAAAAGGTAAGATACCTGGGCAGCTAATATAAATATTTTGGATACTCTGCCCCAAATTTTACTCTTATTATATATAATCACATATGTCTATCCAGTCAGAATTGTGATTTTTTTTTTTTTTGTACCTGGGATCAAACTCAGGACCTTGTGCTTGCTTGCAAGGCAGGAGGTGGAACCACTGAGCTAAATCTCCAGCCAGAATTGTGTTTCTAAGAGCCTTCCATCCACTAAGATATCTTTCTTTTTTAGACACTCAAACCATCAGATAGCACCAATAATATATTATACATAAAGTGCTTAACAAGCTTACAAATTAAGCAAGAGTGCTGGTTTACTTCACATTTGCCACATTTTGCCAAAATAAGGATCTCCCAAACAACCTGATATATAAAAATAAATTTTAAAAACAAAAGATTCCATACAGGTTTTAATATAAGAATATTTTTCCTAACTTTTTCTAAGTTAACTTAGTTACACTTGAAGACCAAAAATTAAGATGTTTAATTTGGAAAGTATTCATCCTTGAGTGTTAGGATTATAACCAGAGTTAAGATTTATTTCCATGTCAACTTTCTTTAAAAAAATTTATTAGTACATGTTCACAGTACATGATGATAACATTTATTGTGGGGAGTTGGTACATGTACAAAATACATCTTAATTCTTCTTTTTTTTTTCCAGTACCGGGGATCAAACTCGGGTCCTTGCGCTTGCGCAGCAGGTGGCGAAACCACTGACTAAATCCCCGGCCCCTATTCTTCTTTTTTTAATTCCCTACTCTGCCTTCCCCTCTCTGCAGCTCTTAGTTCCCTTCCTGTTTGCAAAAGCCATGCAGACTTTCTATGATGCATATTTTCACAAAGTGAGATCTTGATATATACACATACATATTCACATCCCAACTTTTGATTGCTCTTTATTTCATTTATTAAGAACACTTTTCCATATCCTTAAAAATTCTTCCTAAGCATTATTTTCATAATTTTTAGTTTCCTCAAAATAAAACACTTTCTTATTCTCATTCTTTACATTGATGAAAGTGACAAACATGGAAAAAAAAACCCAGAAAAGCAATTCAAACACAAACAGCCACTTACACTGGAACCTTCCTTGGGTGAAGATTTGAAATGCACTGGTTTGGGTAATGTTAGTATTCCTTTTACAGAAATAGTTGGAGTGTCTCCATAACTAGAGGGCCAATTTAAATCTCTGCACTAGAAAAGATTAAAAGCATAGTTTGAACTTTACAATGGACTTTGTATAAATATTTTATACATTTATTAAACTAATGACTTTAGATAAATTTAAAAATAAACTTTAGTATATGTTTCATCCATATTAAATATTCTAAATGTCATATCCATTTCTTTCTCTTTATTTTTATTTTTTTTTTGGTTTTCAGAGACAGAGTCTCACTATGTAGTTCAGGCTGGCCTTGAAATCTCTATGCAGCTCAGGCTGGCCTTAAACTCTTGGTGTTTCTCTTGCCTCAGCATCCTGAATGCTGGGATTACAGATATGCATCACCAGGCTCAGTTAATTACTTTCTTGAAGTTAAAAACATAGATATTTCCATCATACTACAGATATTTTTGTTTTTCTTTTTTTGGTACTGGGGATTGAACACAGAGCACTTTACACAGGAAGACAAGTTTTGTACCATTGAGCTATACATTCCAATACTTTATTTATTGAGATAGGGTTTCATTAAACTGTTCAGGATGGCCTCCAATTTGTGATCCTCTACTTCAGTCTCCCAAATAGCTGGGATTACTGGGGTATGCCACCATGCCTAGCAGATTTGTTTTCTTAAATACTTTATTGAACACGATTTTCTGCAAAATACTATAGAATCCTAAATTCCAAAGACAATATTGGCCCATTTCCCAGGACAGGGCAATAGCATATACTAAAAAAATCTATATATGCAATTTGTAATAAATATTAACTACACTAATTTACCTGTAAAACTGTGATCCAGATCTGGTCTACTGAAGAATTATAAAACAATTTCACATTCAATCTCCCAAAATCTCTTTCATCTCCTGATAGAGTAATTGTATCTGAATTATAAAAGGATAAAGATGTTTAAAATTCTATGCAATGTTTCTAACCCAATTAAGTTTTGACACAATCCAATTTTAAAAGCATAATTGAAAAATACTGTAATTAATTCTTAAAGTTTCCAATTTAATAAGACAAATCTATGTTCTTATTGAAGTTCTAGGAGGAAAGCGTACTATAAAAAGCACATGACTAAAAACCAAATTGGAGGGATTGAATGCTGAAAAATCTTCCCAAATAACATTTATAAGGTTTAGTACTAAATGCTTTTGGAAGTTCCTTCATTCATCTACTTTAAAACAAAAGATACGAAATAGCATCAATTTTTAAACAATTCACTCATGCCTAAACACTGAGAAATGGATCTTCTGATCTGAGTATCCATATGTTAATAGTACTGCCAACACAGACATAATCAGGGAGAATTTTAAAAATCTACTCATATACACTTCAGCCTACTAATGAAAAGAAATAATTCCTTTAAGAGTATAAAATAGTATACTTTATTCCTTACCTAGGCTTCTGTTACTCCCTTGAGAATTTTTTCTTGAAGAAGAACTACTGGGTACACTGGACCATGAATCATGTCTCTACAAATAAAATTCTTCTTTAGTCAGAAATTGCGTATAAAATCTAAAGGATTCTGAAATTTAGGTGCCAATGCCCATTCTAGTATCAAAGTGCATACTGGCCATTTTGATAGTGTTATTGGTCAGAACTCTCCATTTTTAAATAATAAATGGGGGAAAAAAGCTTTCTGTGTATGTTACAGGAAAATCTTTAATATCTTACTAGATAATATATTGGAAAACCTTTGCTGTTTTGGGATTGGTTTTATAATAAAGAGATTACTTCTTAAATTTCATAGTTAAAAACATTAATAAAAAACAAAAATATATTTGGAAGTAGCCACCTACCTAAAGACATGTAAAACAGCATTATTAAAACATGGTCCCTCAGATAGCAATGTCAGCAACACTTAGGAACTTGGTAGAAATAAAAATTCAGGCCCCACAAAAACTTTGGAGGCAAGGCCTGGCAATCATATTTTATCAAGCTCTCAAGCATTTCTGACACATGTTAAGTAACAGTTGCTATAAAGCATTAAGTCTGCAAAAAATTAACTTGCCAGAACTATGTATATACATTCACAGAGAAAGAAGTCCATAAGTATATAGTTTTCACAGTATTTTTACTTTCACATGCAGGAATACAGATGATTTGTCTTTTTATGTTGCTTCTCTCAAAATCCTAATTTTATTTATTTATTATTTTGGTGCCAGGAATTGAAATCAGGGTCTTGCCCTGGCCAGGCAGGCCCTGCACCACTGAGCTACATCCTTGGCCCATAAATCTTAATTTTAGTAGCTAGGGCACCTGTGTAAGT